GAAGAGAGGAGAGGAGGAGAGGAGAGGAGAGGAGAGGAGAGGAGAGAGAGAGAGGAGAGGAGAGGAGAGGAGAGGAGAGGAGAGAGAGGAGAGGAGAGGAGAAGAGAAGAGAAGAGAGAAGAGAGAAGAGAGAGAGAGAGAAGAGAGAGAGAGAAGAGAGAGAGAGAGAAGAAAGAAGAGGAGTGAGGATAAAGTGAAAGAAAAGAGGAAGAAAAACGAAAGAAAAGGGAAGTAGGAAGAGGAGCAAGAAGAAAAAGCGGAAGAGAGATAAAGATGGAAGGAATGGAAGCGAAAAAGAGAGACGGGTATATACCTATACGGTTTAAGACACCAACACTGATTTAGCACCATTTATTTTGTACCTAATGGTATAAATTGGGTATATGGATAGGAATCACATAAAATCACAAACAATACAAGAGACAAATAACAGACAGGGTTATGTTGAGACTAAAACATATACAAAGCCAAACAAATTCAAAACATCAAACAAAAGAACAAAAAACATATTAACATTCACGTTTGTTTATCTTTGGTATTGTGGATATTTCAAGGCTTTACACCTATTTTCTAAGACGCTGGAGGTTACAATAATTAAACACGATATTTAACATAACACTATAGTATCAAAAATATTTAAATTAATAGAAAATAATAATTATACATAGAAAAATATAATAAATCTGGTCAACTGATACGCTGAAGAGACAGAAAGAGTAGAAAAAAACAATATATATCTCTAAACCCTGAGTGCAGTTCACAACTCCTCGTGCTCAGGAGGGAACCTTTGGAAAAACCCGTCTCTTTGCAATTCGGGAATCACGGCGTCGAAGAACTCGTCGGGAGTGAAGCGCTTCGGCGGAAGAGAGACGAGTCTATGCAACACCTGCGCTTCCACCCTCGCCTTGTTCCACTGTTCCACCCAAAAGTTCCTGGCTTCCTCGTCCTCCCCGAGCACCGTTTCAGGCTCTGGGCATCCGTAGTGACTCAGATCTGCCTGGAATTCCCCGGGATTGGCTTTGCTCCTGCCGCCCGAGTGTCGCGTCAGCACCTGGTCGCACACGTGGCACTCGAAATGCTCGATGAAATTTCCCTTCTCGAAGTCATTGTCGATTCCCCAGCGGCGTTTTTCCATGGTCTCCAAAAGATAGGCATTTGTCACTTCCTGGTTTAACTTGTGCTTCAGGTAGGACTCGTACAAAGTGTCGTTTTCTAACAGCCGGTGGAGGAACACCGCGAGTTCCTTCGGGGTCTGAAAATCGCTCACGACGATGACCGAGTGTGGATTGGGTTCCCAGTCTCGTACGGTGGGCGAACCCCAGTACACAGGCACGGTCCCAAGAGTCAAGGGCCGCCACAGCTTCTCGGTGATGTAGTCGTCGCAGCCGGCGTTCTCGATGGCGATGGCAAACTTGTACTTGGCAACCAGAGCGCGGAAGTCGCCGTGGTTGTAAGTCCCTGCCGGGTCCTGCAGGTGAGCTGGGAGGTCTCGATTGTGCAGACACGCGCCGTACGAGTCGATCTTGATATACTTGGCTAATTCACTGACATACTTGTCTCTCTGGGCTGGCGTGTCACAGTCCGACTGTACGTAGACGACAGGCGCTAAACTTTCTTTCCCGAGCAAGTGGTTTTTTTCCTTTGTGGGAACGAATTCGCGCGTTGAAGTGAGCGCCTCGATGGATTTCAGATGTTGCAGTGTGAGAGGAAAGTTAGAGCCACGGCGAAATGTTGACGTAATGTTGAAAAGCTGCAAGACAGGTTGGTGGTCGAAGAGAGGTTGATTTTTCGGGGACTCTTCGTGCAGGAGGCCCCACCAGTGCCTCGACTGCCGGGGGAGAGGGAGGTCCTCGATGCTGAAGTCACTCCCATAAAACAGTACCGCTTTCAGTCGCTTGTTGTGCAGGTAAGAGCGATCCTCTGTAAAAAAGCAAGAGCCCAAACCGCAATTTCGCGACTGACCCATAATCCCTGTAAAAGGAGTCCACCACAAGACGACCGCCTCCCCTCCGGCGCCGCCCGTCGAGGGGGGAGGGGCACCACCTGCCGAGTCACCCCGCTGTAGTGAACCTTTCCCTGTTGCACATTTCGCCCACGTCAGGCAAGCTACCAAGACAATGCATGACTGCACAACAACGCGCCGCCGACTCATGGGAAAGCAAACGACAGCGACGGGGCAGTAAGATCGCGTCTTAGAAAGTGGAGCTGTGACAAGCCTTTTCCCCGCTGAACATCACTTCCTTGAATGAAAACTCGAGTACCGCGTCTTCTCCCGTCCTTAGAGACGTCCTACGAACACCCGCACTTCCGTACTTCCGTACGCAGGCGTACGTGGCAAACGCCTCGCACTTTCTCCGCTACGGTGAGGCCTACTAGGCTCGGGCAGGATGTAAATAATAGTGTAAAGATGGGCGAGATGAGTCGGCGTGTCCACCGGCGCGGCCTCGGACGTGGACCAATCACGTGCCATCCTGTGATCGCGTTCGAGTCCTGTGTCGAGGATTTGGGCGCTTATTCTTTATATTCTCGTATTCTAATTGTGAAGAAAATATGCCTCTTGATATTCCACTTTAATCCGATGGAACTTTGGTGAAAATAAAGGTTGTTTGCGGAATTTATTGGACCTTTCCCGCGATCTCGAATGCTGAGCGACGTGTTCGAGTGTTTACATTGAGTGACTTGAGCTGCTTGAGTGGGAATGAACATATGACTGAAAACTGTCAAGTAAGTGGATAAATGATTGTGTGCCTTGGTGAAATCTACTCACAAACGCCCATTTGACTGAAATGTGTTAGTTTTTAGCCCGTATTACCCCGTTTTCTCCAAGAGAAAAGCATATGATGTGTCGTCAGATGATGTGTTGTCAATACTGCCACTATATAAAGGGAAGATTTTGCCGATTCTAGTATACCTGCTTTTTGACAGTTGAACTAATTGGAAATGGGGATTATTGTAACGCCTAGAATTTATTCGACGTGGGCTTATTAATCTGGTGTTCAGATTTACTTAAGTGTAGCTACATAGTGTACGTTTAATATGCAGGTTAGTATCAGTGTATTGTATTGCATTATTCAGTTATTTTCTTTTTGTGTTGTGAATTCTTTAATTAATTATGCAACTTTAACCAGATTCTAAGGCACTGTAATCATTTTCTGGGACAGTTTGCAAGTTGAATGAGAGATTAGTGGTATTAGTGTAGGTTATTAATAGTGATCATTATTTTGAATGCCGTGGATATTGTTCCGGCACCGAATTTTATAACACTTTGGCTATTCGTCCGGCATACACTAGCGCTTGCGCACAGTCAATAATTCTGTGTCATTTCACGCACACCTTCACGGTTCATGCCTACCATAATAATAATATTGTGTGTCATACATGCAAAGTTTGCCATTTCTGTGATTTTTCGTGCCTATATCCGTGAAGACCATGGGTCGCCTACATTTCTGTGATTTTTCGTGGACAGACCGCACCCGTCATCCCTGGGTCCCGCCAACTATGTTGGGGATCCCGTGGGGAATCGGGATTGGGGGGGGGGGTCTTTCATACCATGTATTTTAAAAAGCAAAAAGAATGTGGGAAATTGAAAATCTGAGCCAAGGATAGCATTTCATATTATAAAGAAAGTGAAAAATATAGAAACCTGAGAGAAGATTCAGCCACGGATGATTCGACACAGTGTTGCGCGAACGAACGAGCGAGTGAATCGCAACTTAAATGCACGAACTACCAGTAGGATCGCCATATGAACCAAAAATCCCTCCTAACACGGGGGCTACGCCCCGGACCCCCTCCTGATTGCCGTAATCTTTGACATAAAACTGTGCGAAAGTGCTCTCTCGAAATTTGGTCAAGCTGTCCTTCACATCAGCAAAACTGGCAAATTCAGTTCCAACTTTGAAGGATACCATAATCGATGATCGACCCTTAGCCATGAACAATAAACAGCACAAAAATAGCGCCAAAGTTTGTATGCAAGGCTAATGCACGAGTGTGTTTACGCGCATAGTGCGTATGTATGCCGGACAAATAGCCAAACTGTTATAAAATCCGGTGCTGGAACAATATCCACGGTGTATTTTTAATGTTATTAGATTATATTTACTGATAGAACAGTGTAGTTGACATTCACAGTATATCAGGAAAGGATAAATGTTACCGAGAGCAACCCACCCTCCAGAGACTCAAGTCCCAGGTGAATCCAAATACCCAACGGTATGAGGTAGTGCCTGAGTTGGGAGGTAAAACCTATATAAATCAATAGACCGATTCAAACCAAGACACTTTCCTTTTATGGCAATATTTGTGCAAATGCTTCCCAAAGGTGCTATATGTAAATGAACAGAGGTGAAGGCCCAATTTTGCCTAAGGCCATCAATATCATTTCATGACAAAAGTAAACATTGAACTGGACGCAGAACTGAGTACTGCAATGTTCAGACTAGTGCATGTATTGCTGAGCGATTGTTGAAATATTTTGTTAATCATAAGTGTCTGCCGTTCCATAGTTATCATTCAAAGACCCTTAGTAATGTTTTTTATACCTCATTTACGTGTTTTAAGATTGATTGTACAGGTTTTAACAGGAATCAGTCTGAAGGATCTTCTGCGCATGCGAATTTTCGCACTTCTCGCCACCAGTTATGATAGAAGGATTCGCAGGTAGTCAGTGACAGAGAGCCAGTAAGAAATGTTTTGTTTTCGGTGTTGTGTCGATTCTAGGTTATTCTTAAGGCTATACAGTGGCAACAAAGAAGAAAAAGACTTAAATAGCTATCGCACTTCGATTTCTGAAGCCATCAAGTACCCCATATCCGAAAAAAAGCGATAAAAACGAAGGGATCCACAATCCACAATAGACCGATCGATGGACCAACCGAAAGAAGCGGCGGAACATTGACAGTTCGGTCTTTTGATATATAAAGGTATTAGGTTTATTGTTTACAGTATGGATGTAGCTCTATCTTGCCGTACATACTGAGGTGGAGAGAATGTGTCCCGGGGGGTGTTGGGGGGGCTTGCCCCCCATCAACCCTCCCCACGGGCAGTGCCCGAAGGGCACGCCTAGTCACGGCACCGTAAATTGCTAGGTTAGGTTTGGCTAGGACTTTTTTTGTGCTTGGAAGGTGTGAAATCCCGTAGATTTTGCCGAAAGATGCGTTGGATTCGAATTTCGCTGCATCAGTGCATAGACTTCCAAAGATGGTGGGCATGTCCATAGAGTTTCATTAGCCAATTTTTTTTTGCGAAATTTGGGCACGTTTTTTTGTGTTTTTGTTCGCTTTTCTTCTTATTTAAGCCTGTTTTACCCCATAATTTCCCTGATATACTTCATGCCCTCCCCTGCTAACGGGACTAACAATTTAAGATTGTCGATGGAAGTGGTACTCAGATCTCATCAACGAAGCTTTTGCACAAGAAACAACATCAAGAATCGTTGAAATCAGTGGATTTCATGCAGATAAATATCAAAATTGTTTCGAAAGGAAGCCCCTACCCTGTTATGCATATAGACCCTGACATTAAGAATACTGGCTGTGTGAAGGTGTTATGGACTTACTCTTTGAGCGGTGATATGCCGCAGACATTTTCATCATGTACCAGTAAATATGAGGCTGCTGCAGCTTAAACTATGTTGTTTCTTTTTTGTATTTCTTATGCTCAATGAGATGGAGTTGTCTATTTCCCTCTATCTCCGCATGTTGCTCACGGTAACCTATACCCAGGAAAGTTTATGATTTTTATGTTCATTATCCAGTAGATATATTATTTTATCTTGGAAGAGCCATTATTCTTTAATTACAGTTAGCCTAGTACCAGATTGCTTGATTGCATAGGTCCTGAGTGAAAGGATGATTTGCAATAATTTTACACAGTAGTTCAGCATGACAGATTACAATAGTATTGGTATTGATGGATTCCTCTCATTATCTACTATTATTGCATACAAGCCCCCCTCATTAGCGACAGTCTTATTCCCAATAGCAGGGGAGGGTATAAAAAATGGTCGGGAAATTGCTAGGTAAAATATGAATCACATACACAGAATCAGTAACTATACTTTCAAGTGCAGTGGGCTGTGCCCCTTGCAATCCCCTCATGGGGGCTGCTGCCCTCAACCCCCACCCAAGAAAACAAAGAATCCTTCTTGTATTCACAGCAGGAGAGAGCATATGACTGACAAGCAGGAGTGGCTGATGCGGAATCCTGTCAGATGCTCTCTCCTGCCATGAATATGTAGAGGATTCTCTGTTTTCCCAGGTAGGGGTTGGGGAATCACAGGAGGCACAGGCTCCTGCATTAGACAAAATAGTGACTAGTTCTGTGTTTATTATTCATAATTTACTCAGCAATTTCCCTGGTACCCTCCATGCCCACCCCTGCTATCAAGACCAAGAATGTAGGGGTTTGGGGGTTTCTGCATGATAATTTCTATATATTTGGATACTACAGAGTGATCAATATCAAAATTGCTGCAATCCTTTATGTGGAACTATTGTGAAAAACTACGAAATTTGCTTAGATTTTATAGTGTGGCAGATCTGAAAAGAAATATTTTGAAGTGTAAGATCTTTCTACTTGGTTATTACTGGTGATGATGATAATGATGACGAGGATGATGGGAATGATGATTATGATAATTATGGTCATTTTTGTGATTATTAGAACACTATTAGTTTGTAATGAGCAGTTAGACACATGCTATATGCAAACCTCTAGAACCACCAATGATATAATTTATTACTTTATAGGTATATACTAATGTAATTAGAAAGGTCAAGACAAAAATGCAGCTAGTAATGTGTATTTTTAGTTCATTTATTATACAGAATTTGATGGAAAATGCATAATTGACAGATTGTCAAAAAAAGAAAGAAAGAAAAACAGAGGTATTAAGACAAACAATTTTTATGATACCTTATAAAAATTATGTCTACTTTCATTATCTTTTTAGACTATTTAACGCAGATTCCTGGAAATCACGAAAAATATTTTACCTGTTGCCAAAATTTTAAATGATTATACAAAAGATCTCTTAAAATATTTTGGCTTTTGTATATCTAATTTTTTTTTTTTCTTTTCTTTTCTTTCAGAGATGGATGTCCTGCTGCCAATATTCCAGTTGTTATACTTTGTTGCCCACTTCCTGGCCAGCTTGGCACTCTCAGTCCTTGACACCTTCCACCTCCTTCACCGAGTGTTCCTTCAAGTTAGTGCAGTGTTAAGAGGAGGCGATCTGCCTGTGCTCCGCATACAAGCTGATGCCGCACAGCTCAAGAAGATCCCACAGCACTTGGGGTTGGTGTGCATAGGGAAGCAAGTGTATCAGATTTCTAATCTTGCCAATGTGATCACATGGGCTGTTGGGTATGGGGTGCGCTATGTTTCCCTATACGATATGCATGGGGCTCTGAAACGACAGCGATTGGTGATACTCCAGCATCTTGAAGAGATGTGTGCTGACATCAACTACACAGTGATTACTCATAACAATGAAGCAAACCAAGCAAAGGACATTGTAGAAAATAGCAGGTCGGGACCACATGTTATTGTAAACCTCTTAAGCCTGACTGATGGCAAAGGCAGCCTTGCAGCCACAGCCCGCCAGCTGAGCTCAGGAACGAGTAAAGTGAATCAGGAGTTATTAGAATCATTAAAAGTAACACGAGGCCAGCCAGACCCTGAACTCGTCATCACAATAGGAGAGCCCATTTCGACCATGGGGTTCCTGCCGTGGCAAATTAGATTAAGTGAATTTTTTGCAGTTCCATCTTTAAATAGGTTTGAGTATGGAGATTTCCAAACCATTCTTAGGCAATATTCTAAATGTGAGCAGAGATGTGGCAAATAGATTCTGTGTTAATTCTACAGTTAATGTCTTTATTCTCTCTCTGTATTTAATAAGAACTTATGTGATATATACAAGTATGTTGCTGTTTGCATGTATGTCAAATCTTCCATGCCAGTAGTGTGCTTAATTTTATAAGGATTTAATAAAAGGAGAGATTCAGGAAATAATTATGTGTAAGTTGAGGTTCAAATAGTCTCATATAACAGAAGGGAATTAGAAATTAGATATTATTCCTGTTATAGACAGTTGCATATGAACTTGTATATCATTATTTTATCAAGTAAGGGATCAAAGAAACAGGAGAAGGAAAATTTAAATATTTCTTAGTATTTTTGTAAAGTAAAGTACTTAACAAATTCAAAAAAAAAAAGAAAAAAGGGGAAAAACCTATTCTTGTTTAGTATATTGTTTTAGAGAAGACAATAGTAATTTTGCCTCCCTTTTTTCTTAATATCAAGTGTTTTTTTGGAAGAGAAGGCCCCAGAGTTGATACTGTTGCATGTATATATTCAGTTTCCAAGCTATACATTTTTTTCCAACTCAGGTCAGTAAGAAACGCATTGTGTAGTGAGTCAATAATACAAGAAATTGTGTTCTGTTTTGTAAAGTATGAGAGGTCTTTTGACTATTGCCGGGCGGTTCTTTCCATTTATCTGGGGAGTGTATGGAGTGTGCATAATGTGGTCCCATAAAATTCTTTTGCCTGTGATATGCTGTAAGATTTTAAAATTATTATTTGATTTTGATTGGTTTAGATCATTTATGTAGGTCACTGCTCTTCCTTCAAGGAGTAAGACAATATACTCATTAATAGAAAATATGTGAATTGTAGTATATATTTAGTTCCTAATGTAAGGAAAGATGTTTCTATCAGTATTGTCAACAATATATTTTTCTTTCATTTCTGCTCATCTTATTTATTGCTTTATTTTCTTTTTCACTGTCAGGTTATCATACTCTTGAGTTGAAAGATCACATTAGGAGGACTATTGAAGCAGATACAGTGCTCTTTGTATTAATTTTCCCCTTACAAACACCAATACTGTGTTACCAGTTGATCCTTGTTATGAGTGTATACATGTTTGATACATATACAGTACTTTTTGTTTATTCTGCCATTATATTGTCAGTTGTTATTGATACATATATAGATATACATTATGTGTAATATGAAAATATTTCCTTGTTTTGCTCCTAGTACAGGTTGAGAGCTTGATTTTCCTGCCCAGTGAGGGATTAATGCTATTATCACTTGTTTGTCCTTTTTACTCTTGTCCAAATATGGTTGACACAATTCCCTCTTGAGGCTGCAGATAGCATTCTCATTGTTACAGGAAAATGCCTCATTATTATTTTAAGTTTATGCTGCAACATGGAGAAGAGGATACACATTACACCACTGCCACATAGGTTGATTTTATTTTATTTTTTTGGTGGGGGGGAGTATATGAACTTTGAATTGTTAGGGTCAGGACCTGATAGAAAGGCAAGCTGAAAGGTTAGAGAAATACAATTAATGGATCTAGGTCAAATAACATTTTGTAGAATAAAAGTTTTCTGAATGCATGTTAGAGCACCATTTAACAATGTTACAATAGTATCATTAGTTGATTTTCTCTCATTGGTTGACTAAAATGATGATTATAGGTTTTTGTGAGTCATCATAGTTATCTCTGGTATGTCTAATGATATTTGAGGATATGAGGAAATCTGTAGTTCTGTACTATTAAATCTGCAGATTCCATATGATGCAGACTAAATTCACATTTTCAGGAGCACGAGTTGTATACCTGAATCATTACTTTCTTCTGAAGACTTATCTCAGGTAGAGGAAAAGGGATAATAGAAAATAATTGTTCTTACATAACTATCAAATGTTCCTTTATATGAATACGTGATCTTTTTTTTCTAAAGAGGAGTAATTAGCCTGATAGTAAAATCTTGGACTTTGGGATCGTGATTTTTACTTACTTGAAATAGATAACGAAAAACTGTAATTGCAAAGAAGACATTGTGATATAAAGACAGATAGACACCTTTCTAGGTGGCTAAGAGCATTATCTACAGTAATGTTAATTGGTTTCTCTGTATGTCTCCCTTTAGTTGCTTATGTGAGAACAATTTTCTTTGTGTCAGAATCTAACAAGTAATTTTGGAGGAACACTTCCTAAATGATTATGAAATTAGATTGCTTTCTTACACATGATACTATTCATTGTTTTATGTTTTAAAATCATAAAATCTTCCCATGTATTAATTTTCATATGATGGGTTCCACATTTTACTTTTGTGCTAAAATTGAGGTTCACCCATTTTTTACCGTGTTAAAATTTAAGTTCTTCCAGCCATTTTAAGTACAAATAGTGTGCAGCAGTTGTAAAGCCCACAGCATAGTAATATCTTGTTAGGCATCCTAGAATCATCCAAGGCAAGATATATGTGAACACAATATAATTCAGCTATTGTTATTGTAGCCTTTAAAACCATCTTGTATGCATACAGAGTACATAGTCCTCAGATCTTTGTAAAGCTTTATTTAAAGTTATTTTTTTTCCAAGGATGTGCATATGTATCTCTTGTTAAAGCAGTGGCATCATAATTTTTCACTTTGTTTAGAATGTACTTAAAGTAGAAGAGTGAAATTTGGAAAGGCAGTTTACATTTTAAGGAAAGATGGTTGTGGCTGCAGAAATATCTGGATTTTTTTTTTCTTTATTTTGGCATGTTTCATGTGTACTGTCATTGTCTGTACATCATATTGCACCATATACATATACATTCTAGTAAGTATATATATATGTATTTAAAGTATGTATCTGGATGTAATATGTGTATCTGTATTATGTATGTATGCATGTCTATATCTTTATTTATCTATATATCTATATAGATAGATATATGGGTATTGATATAGTTTTATATAGATATATAGATACATAGATACATAGATATAATCTGTTGATCTATATGTGTGTATAAATGTGTATGTATATGATTACTGTATGCAAGCTCTCAATGAAGTTACAACATTTGTTTAGTTATAAGATTTTCCACCTATAAAGTGAGTTTAGAATATACAGATCAGTTTACCAGGAACAACAGTAACTTCATTTATTTTCTTTGTAGAGAGAAGTATATAGACATGTTTATAAGCATAATATTTTTGGGTCTTTGGGCCCAATTTATGTGTTTTCCTAGCCAATTGAAAAATGCATATTTATGATTTATCTCTTCATAGAAGAGATTTTAGAGAGTGACTGCCTCTTTGGAAAATGTATCTTTTTGTGGAGTAAATCTTATTTAAGAGAATAGTGCCTTATGAGGATGATGCTAGAAAAAAAGTAAAAGTTTTAGCCTTGTATAATTACCCTCCCTTCCAGATATCAGAGTGACCATAGAATATTGTATTTTGCAACAAAGGATGCCATGTTAAAAAAGAAAAAAGAAAAAAAAAAAAAAACTCCCCAGAGAAATTAGAGAAGGGTTCACTTTTTGTAACTGAACAAATGGAAAATGTATAGATAAGGAAAGAAAATAAATTGCATGACCAGTAATGAAAAAAGAGAAGAAAAAGAACATGTCACAGTGAATTCAAATAATCATGTCCTGTATACTGGGTGCATAATTTTATAAGGTCTAATTTAGATAGCAGTTCTTTACTACAGGCTGTCAATGCTGTGAAAAGTTGAGTATTTATTATTCTGTTGCAGTTAAATAGGCTGTTGTTGAAAAACAGATTTGTGGCAGTTTTGCAGGCAAATCTATCAATGTGGAATAAATTATATGTATATATTTTGGTTTCCAGATTTACGTACAAAATGTACTTCTGTTGTAGTTTTGTGTTGGAACCCTTTAGAATTTATTTATGTACTAATGAATGTTATTTCATTGATTTACCAAGAATATCTTGGAAATATAATTTACAAAGATAAAAGTGTTTAACATTCCTTAAGTATGTAGAATTTTTAATGAAGTGATCTCTTATGAAGTAAATACTGCTCATGCAGATGCTACTGTTGTATGGCACTTTAAACAGCCTAAAAACTATAAATTAGCCTACATTATCAATAAAAAAATAAAATAATAAACATAAAAATGAAAATTCATAACCCTTAAAGCATACAAGCAAGACAGGACTTAATAATGACATGGGATGTACTATTCCTCTTCCAACATGGGTAGAAGTTTTCTTAAGTACTAAGCCTGATATTAAATTTATAGGCATATCTGGATGAGTTGTCCTAATCAGCAGGCATGTCCAACAAGTGTCAAAGTTGGGCAAACTACTGACATGTTTATCCACTTAACCTACCTCTTGTTTTCATATAGGGCATGACCACCATTTATGCCTGCTCATCAACATACTGATAGGCCCTTTTCGCATGATCGAACAATGCCCAGTAGACTTTGCCTATTTATTGTGTCATTAGGCATGGAGCTGTTGGGTCTGGCAGGGTCCTTTATCCATGCCTGGCAACAGGTCAAACTACAAGGCAGATGGCCCTATCTGGTGATTTTACTTAACCATGGGCATCGGGACACCCTTGGTTTGCCTGAACAAGGGACATTACAAAGTGCTTGATATTGTGTGAATGTACATGCAAATGCATGCACGCACACCCACACCCATACACAAAAGGTTATCGAGTGTTATATGATAGTATGGTAGTGAACATGATAAAGTGGGGGGAACAAAGGAAGTAAGGCAGATATAAGTAAGAGGAAAGGGAATAGGAATAAAGAGATTGGAGGGAGCTGAGTATTCTCTTGGGTCATGATCAGGTAGTTTTGGATGTCTTCAAGAGTTTCTGGACGGAAGTTGGGTGAGATCTGAAAATCAAAGGTTTTCTTGTGAGTCGAAGAGGGGATATATGTGATGAGCAAGAGAGGTGGGAAAGGATGTAGTAGGAGATGGGATGAGACTTTAAATTCCCTGGTGTGACAGGTAAAGAGAGGAGGAGGGGTTGGCATTAAAGAAATGGTAGAAACTGGAGTATCTAGATTTAGACTGGAAAAGAAATTTGACAGGGAGAACGGGAGTAGAGGTAGGATGTTTGTGGTAGAGGGAAGAGATACTGGGAATGCTGAGACATCTTGAGAAGATGGGAGGGATGCAGAGCGAAGTACAGTTTTGGAATATGCAGAGAAAAACCTTGTTGCCGTGATTCCTGTCTGGCCTCATGTAGAGTGAGGCCTAGTTTGAATCAGACCTGCTACCTCACCTTAAGAGCTTGCAGGCAGTACACAGTTCCTACAGAGTATGTTTTGGGAGCCACCACAATATGCACACATGATTGAACAGAGCAATTTAAATGGTCATGACCAGTTTGGGCATATAGAGGGCAGTGGGCAGTGAAGGGAATGTTTGGCTGGGTGGCCAAAATGCGAACATTTCTGACTGATGGGGAAGGGGTCAATATGGATAGGGCAAGACTCCTGCAATATGGACTTTATGGTCATGTCTGGGGAAGCTAATCTTGACAATATTGGTGTAGAACTTATGCTGGCCTCTGCATCATAGTCAATAAGGCAGGCAAGTAGGTAATTTTCAGTCTGACCAGTCCTTCTTGTAGACAGGACAATCAGTTGGAGAGACAGAAATTGTTCCCATACAAGTATTAGGAGAAGAGCGAGTTTTGGCATGAAAAGGTTTACCAGTGAGGTCGGTAAGGGTAAATAGCCCACAAGCTTGGGACTCGGATGTAACTGTGATAGGGCGTAAATGTAGCAACAACTGCGAAAGGAAACTATGCCTCTGATTTTGGAGACACTGTTAGAAGTGAAGAGTATCAAAAGAGTAAGGTGCTGTAGGGGAATCACAAAGAATCAATTCTACTTGGATAGGCCAAAAAGAGAACTCAAAATGTTTGTAGAGGTGGAAGCAGTAGAAGGATGAGGGTGGGAGGAAGATGAGGTAGTACTGTGAGATGAGGACAAGGGTGAGTAGTAGCAATACGGGAGGAGAGGGTAGACAGTGAAGACTCTGCAGCAGATGGAGTGGATGTTGAGAGGAAGGGGTGTAATTCAGAAGGTTGAGTAATGACCTGGGTGGATGATTTGGAATGGATGAAATTGACAGCAAACATCACGGAGGTATAAGAATGGTTAATGGTAAAACAAAATAAATGAACCCGATATGAAAGGTCATACAGCACTATGTTAAAATATTGTGGCAAAAAGGTTAGTATGAGAAAATAAGTTGGACGAAGAATGTTAATGTTAAAGGTTGTAGAGTGCTTTTGATTATTAAGTGAAAAGAATAAAAAGGGAAGAACAAATGGAGCACAGAGCCCGTTCAAGACTAACAAAGCAAGCCTTTCATCCGTTCAGCACGGCTCTAACCTTAGGAAGTGGACAGGAGGGGATGTAGAAAAGAAGGAAAGGGAAAGGGGAAAATGAAAGACCAATGCAAAATTGGTTGAGACAAGGGTGAAGATCCAAAGTTGGGGTGATCCCCTACAATGGATCTCTGTCACAGCCCTCTGATAACAAAAAGCAAGGGATAAGGGGGGAGGGGACAGGCAGACAAACTCAGTGAACAAGTATTCCTGTTTTCTGACCTGTATAATCACCTTTAATTACAATTGCCTGTGTGGACATGCCTTTAAGAATGTCTTACATTTCTGAAGGCTTGTGTCCCTTTATCAAGACTGAGTTCCACTAAACTTTTCTGATTCAAGGTAAGTTGGGAAGTAAACCCAGGATAAACCTAAGACATCAAGGATTTCTTTGCTGGTTTTGAAGACATTTATAATCATGGCAGTTTCTTACATACAATTTTAGTTATATGACGAATTCTGAAGCCACTATAGACATGCCTTGCATAGAGAAATATGTAAACAAAATAGAAGGATGGGCGGCTGGAAGGAACAAAACTAGGCTTCATATAGATGTACTGTTGACAATTAAGTGAGAATTTTCTGATTCTTGCAAAGTACTACAGAAGAAGAGAATCATACACATTTATTAGCAACTTTTATTTCCTTAGTGAACTTACAAGAACATTTATTTGAATGGAACCAGACTCAATAGCATAAAAAGTCAAATCAACTTCTGATAAAATCATTCATCTCCTTTCCACAGAAACCAAGAATACAAACTGAATGGTACAAAGTTTAAACAAAATTATATCAGTCAAATTCTAATACAAGTCTGTTCTTTTTCCATAGAAACCAAGAACACAATATAAAGGGTATGGTATTATAAAATAATACTCTCCTGTTCTTAAAAAAAGGCATTTAAAGAACTTCCACTAAAAATGTATTATTTCACAAATCACTAATAATTACTCAAACTTTTCTTTCATCAAAATTTTTCATTGCCATTTAGGATAACATTCAACTGTCTGGATCTTATTATCTTGCATTTCAAAATAAAATGGGCATGAAACATATCCAATTAAATTGAGGATCAAAAATAAAAATGCTGTCTCAGGTTGTATTTTTTTTCATTTCTTTAAGAGGGTACATATCAACTTATGAGTTGCTGTTAGGTCCTCGCTTCTTGCCGAAGGATGCCACAACATTGACGAAACGGCGATTGTACTGGATCCTACGCTTGGCACGGCCGGTCTTTGACTTCCTCTTTTCCTTCTTCTCAACCTTGGGGGTCTGGCCCTTGACCTTACCGGCACGGGACAGGGAACCGTGAACCTTACCTGGAGGAGGAGAGAAACATTAAGCCTATAATTTCTACAAACCCCCCTTGCTACTTACAGCAATGTAAGAAAACTAAATTTGGAGCTTTACATTATCACTACATGTATTTATTCTTACAATTATTGCTTTTTTTTATGAGTTCAAAAAAAGTTTTACTCACCTCCCTTAAGGGCAACATTGACGTCAATGGCATCAGTGTTCAGGTTGGACAGGGGGAAGCTGTCATTGTCAAGGGGTGATCCAGCAGCATACAGCCTCACCTGTAAATGAAAATAGTAAAATAATCATACAAGTAATAAAGTCAAGACACCTTTCCTTCAGTACTGAACCTGAAATGAATAATTATGCTTATTACTATATAATATCCAAATATAATCCATCAAGTTAGATATAACTGCAGACTCACTTCAGTCTCTGGGAGACCTTCAGCTTGGCAGATGAAGGCACGGACATCTCCAACTGTTTGTTGTTCAGCATTTTCCACCACATGGGTGACCTCGGAACGCACGAAGATCTGCATCTTGATATCTAAAATGTGTAAAAAAAAAAAAAAAATAAAAAAAGTATTACTAACTGTACATACACTATCAATTAATCTCTATAATTTACTTAGTAACTATTGTTATGCAAGGCAGGAGCTCATCTCGATGATACAATGCCAGAATGCCTATCAGAACTCAAGGTATATATATATAATATAAAATAGAACATACATGTTAACATAGTTCCAAGAACATTTTTCTCTCTCTCATATCTACAAATGATTAACCTTTCCCCTCAAGCTGTGTCAAAGAACAAACTATTCATGGCAACTTAGATTGAATAAATTTTGTGACATGGCACTGGAAAGAATATCTGGCAAGGACATCCAGACTAACACATTACCAATTATCAAACAAATTTAAAAAATGTAGATGAAACTCTGGCTGCATGAGGGTGTTGTGGACAGTCTCTGGGCTGTGATATGTGGCATCCTTTTCTTCATTTACTAGTAAAATGGCCGCTGCAGCTTTAACTATGTTGAATCTTAATCTTTTCTTACACTTTATAAAATGGTGGTGTTCCTTTCCCTCGTATTTCCTCTTGTTGCGCTCAGTAACTTGTACCACAAAACCTGCTGACAAACCTTGCTTTCACCTTGGTTTTCAAGGCAAGAGCTGAACTCTGCCCCCCAGCACTTCCCAAGAAACCTTGTTTTCAGCTCACTTTACATGGCAAGATAAGAGCTGGAACTCAGGAGCACTGAGTAGTCTTAGGCAGAAAGAGGCACTTTCCCCAATCTTTTACCTTAATTTTAGAGGCTACCATTTGTCTGCAGATTATATCTTGTACCAATGACCAACTTTTTGTTCTCTACCAGAATATCAAATTCCATTTGCCCTAACTTAGTGCATCCTTACTGTAAAGATTAACCTCTTTCTGCTATAAGAATGCCATCATCAATTTGTCCTAGCTGAGTGTCCATAAAGATAACTTCTTTTTGTTACAATAATTGATGATGTAACCTGATTAAATCTTGTCTGGTAATTCTTTACAGTATGGATGCACCAGCAAGTGCACCCTACATATTCCTTAACTAAAGCCAAAAACCTTGGAGAGACTTCACTACAATGGTATATACCAAATTCCGGTACAAGTTAAAGACACTGACACACACAGGGTAATGGACACCGCCATCTTATAGAGCGGAAAAATAGAGATAGAATATAGTTTAAGCTGCAGAGGCCTCATTTAACGTCAAGGCAAAGTCCGCAACACCCTTAAGAAGCCAGAGTTCCTTGTTTATGTCTACATTTTCTATAAATGTCACGTTTTCTGCACACTACTTTCAGCTAACGTGGAAACCTTACCGATTACTAATTTTAAAATCCATTATTTATTCATATTTCTACAAACCTTTCATGCTTATACATTTTAAGTATTCTTCTATGTAATGTAGATATTTTATGATTTATAATTTCGTTATCATAACCTTGATTCACTGCTAACAATGTAATGTTACTGCCTTTACATTAATTGCCTCCCATGTCGGAACAATACACAATGTTCATTACTTGAGCACTTTCCGGTAAGTGCTTGACATGGATGGACCCAACAATTTTTGTGCGCAGTGTGACATGGGGCAAGTTAAAATATTGGTTTAAATGTTTATTTTATATTTATATTTGTTTTGAAGAGAAAGTAAAAGTAGCTTTATCATCAGGGATAAATAGTGTTATTAAATTTTTTTTTTTTTTAATGGCAGGTACGGGTGCTTTTGGGAGAAATATGCCGGTCGCATGGCTTCATATTGGGGGCCCTTAAATGTCCGAAATGCAACGTCAGCCGATTTGATAATATATAGTAAGGTGTGACAATCCCCCAATATAGAAAAGTTATATGCATTTTCACTTCACCAAGGCCATACTCCAAATGGTGTACCTAGCGGAGAATGAAAGGTTCCATCAGGTCGTCCTCGCCACATCTTGTTTGTACCCTCTACACTGACGGTAAGAGTTGTATATTCTTTAATGATATAGCTTAATAATTTGACATCGTGCTTTAATGATCTGGTTTAGTAATTTCACATCTTGCTAATAAGCGGGGTAGGGGGTGGGGGATTATTTTGATATGGTAGGTTTTCGTTATTTTGGTTCTCATGATAAGCACATGTTATATAGTTTAAAATATTGTTTTGTACATCAGATATTGCGTTTGGGTGCATTGCAGGTTATGCTTGTTTACTTTAGCTGTGTTTCATTTGTTATCCATCAGGCAAAGTTTGGCTCATCTTTCAGATAATTACACATTTTAACATTAAATGTTATATAGTTTCTCTCAACATTTACAGGTTGAAAATGACATGCCATTTCCCTTTTGAGTTGTGGCCATTTTTTGGCACAGAGTTAATGAAGGGGGGGTTTCAGGGGAGGGTTCATCCACCCTGTCTAGAGAATAAATAGAAGATAGGAAAGGTTAGGTTCAGGTTTTTGGGTGCAAGATATCCTGATTTTGAGATTTTACCTCTAGAGGGTGCTTCATTCTCGATAACAAATACCAAAAGAAAAACTCCACTGATACATAAAATAATCAGTGTAGACAAAATGTCAGAAATGAAGGAAATAGGCTGTGACAAATAACACACGGACAGGAAGTCCACAGCAATTGGATGGGGTTTGAGTGGCAAGTGGCAAAATCCCTAGGTTAGGGGGGATTTTGGTTCATATGGCGAGGTTTCTGGATTTCCCAGGAATGACTGGAGTTATAAACAATCTTAGTGGGTAACTTTGCTTTGTAATCAATACTATCATTAATATCATTAGCAAAGGAAAACAAGATTTGGGCATTTTACAACGTATATTTTGAAAGAAGGAATAATTCACAGATTGAATGGTCATGTGAAACTAGAAAATGACCAAATAATTCATTAATAAATCAAATAATCAGTGCTGGCTAAGCCAAAAAACTTTAAAAGTTGCAACATGTGCCATAAAGAAATCAAGTCAAAATCTAGGTGGGGGTCTGAAGGCAAAACCCTGGTTGGAAAGGTTTCACATGGCAATGAATGCTCCCGTGGTTGCTGGCTGCAGAAACAAGGGCTCAGTCTCCAACGGGTGCGGTCGCTGCATTGGCAACTGCAGCATAACCTTCACGATCAATTTCCAAGACATTACACTGAACAGATTCCAAAAATGGTTCACCACTACTAAACTCTACTAAACTCATATTAGTTATGTGCAACTACCAATCTCATTCAATACTTTACTCAAGCACCGCCGTCTGCACACATTGCATCACTATTCCTCAAGACAAGACCACGATCTTGCATAGTTACACACACGTTCCTACTGAAACCTAGACATTGAACAGGAACGCCTTAACAAGAGCTTAAATCCTGACAAATCTCAGCAAAATCCTTCGGAATGTCATGATAAATAATGACAAGAAATTGCACTTCAGTCACGGAAAGACGACAGAAACCTCTAGAAAAAGAGGGAAACCTTGAAGGCAAGAAAGTAAAAGCTTGACTTAAGATTTACTTAATTCCCGATCTCTATTCCATGTTACTCATCTATAGATCATGAAATATCCCGTAAGACTTGTAATAAGTCATAATTTCCGAATGAAAACGAGACACGAAACAAAGTCGAAACTCTAAAACAAAATCCCAAACAATAACACGTTCGAGCTGCACCATGAGGAAGTCCCACAACATTATCCTCTCTTTTTGACACGAACTACCTTTCCCACCTGCTTAAAAACCCTCCTTAAATCTCCTTTAAACAGTCAACAATAACCCAGGCGGAATTCGAGAGAAACCACCGGAATTGGCATCATAAATGGGCGAAAAACACCAAATTCCACCTACTTACGCGGATGACAAGGTCCTAAAGGGATGTTTTGGGACGAGAACACGAGCGATGTGGACGTGGCCGATGGTTCCTTTTTCAATTACTAAATTTGGAATGAAAAATATAAATATTGATACCGTAAGTTTATATATAGCACAAATAGTTTTTATATGTTATTATTTGTATAATCATTTCGGATTTATATTTTTTAAGCGAATGGGGGATTTGGTAACGTGGTTGATAGTTCTGTTCTATACAATCTTGTTTAAAACTATACAATTTCGTGGAGCAATTCGATTGGATATAATATATTTATCATTTTTCGAAGGATCGGGTTTCCCAATTTACATTATTTGTTTGATAAGGAATGATACTAATTGTTTGTGGAGTTTATGACAGAAAACGTGTTTTCTTTTAAACGATAACTAATTTAGAATTGGTTGATTTTGATTCATGCAAATTATCATATTTTCGCTGTATCTGCAATTCAAAAAAGAAATTCATCTCATTACTGAGATTGCTGGGAAGTGAGGTATTTTGGATGGAATTTCACAAACACTTTCACGATAATATTTGTCGCCGCGCTCCAGTGTCGTCACATTGGGTCATATTTTTTACTCTATTTCGGATCAATATTTTGGGAAGTTGTCTGTATAATGTTACCACAAGTTTTCTAATCTAATTTACTGTTTAATATTATATATGCTTTTAGAAAATTATAACGCCTTGTGAATAAGACTGATTACACAACCTTATCATCTGATGCGTGTAAATGGTGCTGGCAATGCATAACATTGTGAGATACAATTGTTTTGCGTCTTTTCTGTCTTCGAAATCTTCACACACACACACAGATACGAACATTCACATACAATCAACAATACATATAAAATGAATAGGCTAACCCACACATGCAAGTATGCAAACCTCTCTCATCCACGCAATCACATACATACATATTCCCAGACATGCACAGATACAAAAAACATACATACACATTCACAAAAACATGCATACTCATAGACAAAAAAGACATTCACAAACACATGCATACGCAGATAAATTCATAATTCATAATTCACACACACACACACACTCTAATACATTCACACATACAAGGTACCACACACACACACACACACACACACACACACACACACACACACACACACACACACACACACACACACACACACACACACACACACACACACACACACACACACGCACACATAAACATATTTCGTAAATCTGATTTGTTTCTGTAAACTGAACTTTCGTTTCATTAGCCTTGGTGGAGTAAGATATAGGAACAATTCTGGTTGACTACAAGGTATTATAGCCGGTGTTTCATAAAACTGATAAAAGTTGAGGTAACGATAAAATGTTCAAAATCATAGATGCATTACTTTAAGGTCTCTTCAATGACCGCTTAACCGCCAAATTAGAGACTAATGTAGTTTACTCGTGAATAAAACACACACAACACACACACACACACACACACACACACACACACACACACACACACACACACACACACACACACACACACACACACACACACACACACACACACACACACACACACACACACACACACACACACACACACACACACACACACACACACACAACACAACACACACACACACACAACACACAACCATAACCTTTTCAACGACGAAAAGAGCTCATCAGTGACCGTTAATGCATTGGAACTCACTTCAAACCGTTCCCGAACTCCATTACTGAACCTCAACTTGTCAAACGTATTAGCGATATACACATACTTTTACGGAACAAATTCGGTTTCATTATAGTGATCATCGCAGGCCGTTTCCTATCTCTACGATCGCTTTGTGTAAAGGACATTATCATTTTTTAAAAACGTCTCAAATAGAACGTACCATCTATCTTTATTGGTTTTCTCGTCATTCTTATCCATTCACCTCATCCTGCTATCAATACATTCATTCAGATATTTTCATGGCGCATGTTTTGACACACGCACGCACACACACACACACACACACACACACACACACACACACACACACAACACACACACACACACACACACACACACACACACACACACAAACACAAACACACACACACAACACACACACACACACAAACACAAACACAAACACACACAAACACACACACACACACACACACACTACACACACACACACACACACACACACACACACACACACACACACACACACACACACACACACACACACACCACACACACACACACACACACACACACACACACACACACACACACACGTATTCAATAAAAAGCAATTCGCAAGCACTATCAAACTCGACACAAATATCATGTTGCAACTCCAACACCTCTTCTTTGTCCTGTCCATCATAAAACCTTCACACCCGGAATAATAGCCTTGCATAAAGGTTTTGCATCATATAAAGGCTAGTGCTTGCGAAGGTGACAAGGTTATAAAAAAAACTGATGATGGACACAATGGGAATAATGTGATAGGCTTGTTTCCAGGTTGAAGAGCAATGATGCAGGTTGTTATCAGTTTGTCATTATTATTTTTTTTTATTATCGTCATTATTATGATTATTACTAGCGTTGTTGTTCTTATTATCAGTATCATAATAATAATAATAATAATAATAATGATAATGATAATAATAATAATCATTATTATAATTATGATAATAATTATTATTATCATTATTTTCATTATCATTATTAATATTATCATTATCATCATTATTATTATCATTATCATTATCGTTATTATCAATTATCATCATTGTTATTATCATTATTATTATCATCATTATCATAATCATCATTGTTATTCTTATTCTTATTCTAATTGATATTACTATCATAATTATCATCTTTATCATTATTATCTTTATAGTTATCATTGTTATTATCATCAATATTATTGTTGTTATTTTAATAATTTCTTTTTTATTATCATTGTTATTATCAACATTATCATTGTTGTTGCTTTAATAATTTCTTTTTTATTATTATTGTTATTATCAACATTATCATTGTTCTTGTTATAATATTGTTATCTTCGTTATTGTTATCATAATCATGATGATTATCATTATCAAAATTATAATCTTTATCATTGTTATCTTTATTATCATTGTTGTTATGATTGTTTTAATCATCATCATTAACATTATTATACTATCAATATTATCATTATTATCGTTATCATGATCCTAATTATCATTATCATTGTCATCATCATTATTATTATTAATACTATAATAATTTTCATTGCTATTATCATTATCATTATTATTATTACTATTATTGTATATACATACATATACATCTATCTATATATCTATCTATCTATAGGTATGTGTGCGTATGTATTTATATATCTATATTTCTTTCTGGCTTTAATAATAAAGTATCTCCTCCTTTCGATCTCCTTCACCCTCCGCCTCCTCTCACCCCTTTCTTTCCCCTCTCTCACTCCTCCCTTCCGCTTTCAGCCCTACATCTGGCTCCTCCCACTTCCCTCCTATTGCTCCCTTGTGCCCCTCCCTCTCCCCCCCACCGATCTTCTCTCTGTGTCCCCTCTCCGTTCCCCTCCCTTCCCTCTTTCCTCTTTTAAGCCCCCTCCCCTCCCTCCTTCCTTCTCCCCTTCCTTTCTCCTCCCCCTCCTACCTTCCTTCTTGACCGCCCTCCTCGGATAGTCGTGTAAACAATAAATATGCATGAAATGACGGTCTAACTAACTAATTAATGATGTAAATGCAAATAATTGATAATGGCAAAAATTGCAATGATAGCAATAATAGTAAAAATGGTAGGCCTAATGATCATCATAGCAATAATCATAGCAATGATAAAATCACACACTATATCCTTACACATTCTTTTTTATACATTTCTGAGTCTCGCTTTTCCCGATGAATAGAATACACGTGATATCCATAATTCTCAAATTCTGCAATTCTCCAACTTTGACAAAGAAGAATGTTAACTGGTGTAAATCATGGATTTTTCTTATGGTGAATTCCATTGCGAAAATACGTGGATTTCGTCTTCCAAAACATCCTGGTCTAGCCCTTCCCCCCCCCCAAAAAAAGAGAAAAAATCTATCGCTTACGAAAAGAAAAATGGGAGACGGGAAAACAAGAGAAAGTCGGAAAAAAGAAAAAAAGACGAGAAAGACAGAATAGAGAGAGAGAGAGAAGGAGAGAGAGAGAGAGAGAGAGAGAGAGAGAGAGAGAGAGTGAGAGAGAGAGAGAGAGAGAGAGAGAGAGAGAGAGAGAGAGAGAGAAGAGAGAGGTGAGAGAGAGAGAGAGAGAGAAGAGAGGAAAGAGAGAGAGAGAGAGAGAGAGAGAGAGAGAGAGAGAGAGAGAGAGAGAGAGAGAGAGAGAGAGAGAGAGAGAGAGAGAGAGAGAGAGAGAGAAGAGAGAGAGAGAGAGAGAGAGAGAGAGAGAGAGAGAGAGAGAGAGAGAGAGAGAGAGAGAGAGAGAGAGAGAGAGAGAAGAGAGAGGAAGAGAGAGGAGATTGAAAGAAAAAAAAGTAAAGAAAACGGGAAAATAGGAGAAAAATCGCTTAATTTCGCCTCACGAGAGGGTAAACTAAACTAGATCCGGCAGCGATGAGCAGGCAACACGGAGACGCATAGTTTTCCCTGGCCTGTTCTCTTAGTAACGCTCGAGGCACGAGAGGAGGAGGATGTGTGCTTGCGTCGTCCTTGCTTGCGTGATTGCTGCATTCGAACCGTAGTCTCACGGTGAGTGTGTATTTTGGAGTCTCTTGAGGATAAATGGAAGAAAATTCAAGGGTGTGGATTTTTTTTCATGGTGTACGTGTATTGGCTATGTTTATATTTGGGTTTGTGGGTATAGCGTAAAACATGAGATTTTGAGCTGAAAGCAGCCATTCGTCTATGAATTGGGATTATGCGTATGTGGAAAAAAATGGATCAGTCGATCAGTTTATCCTACGATATTACTTGCGGACAAACAAACACACATATATATGTGTATATACACTATATGTATATATATATGTATATATATATATATATCTATTATATATATATATATATATATATATATATATATATTTCTATATATATATATATACCCACACATACATCTATATGTATATATTA